ACTTTTATAAAGAATATCTCTTTGGATTTGAGACTTTAGTCTTTGCAACTTTACAGATCTTCTTTATACACCAAGAGCTTGTAACACTCCAAAGAGAAAGGAAAAATTTAAATCGCATCATATGACCCCTTTAAGAGTGGAAAAACGCCTACCACAATGCAATGTGCCTGTCTTGACCTTACATTTCTATCTGGCCAACGTGACAACATTTATTTTTAGATTTGATTATTAGTATGCATTATATACTTTGTAATATGCTGGAAGCATTATGTTAGTAGTCCTTGCCAAATAGGACATAGCCATGGAGAGTTTTGTGCACATTCTCACCTTGTATATCTCCTCATTAACTGTCCTGACCTCCACCAGGTCTCCAGTCTGGTCAATGCTGTAGACAGCTCTGCCCAGCTTCACATGGTCACCCAGCTCTCTCGCCATCGCCTCACTGATTTGATTGGCACCTCCGGCAAACTTGCGCTCCTGTCATATTGGGCAGCAGTTTTCCAGACTTTTTGGTTAGACTTTGTATGTACTAGAAATGATCAGTTTAATATACATGAACGTTCCCATTTCAACAAGGACTGAAATTCTTTAATTCACCAATAGGGGTCTCTGTCTCTCAGAGATAGAATTATGACAGAGTTGTATAATACTGCCCACCATGCACATACCTTACCAGACACATTAAGAATATAAAACAGGTTAAAGAACAATAACAGGCAGATCATAAGAGTTTATTGACAATGTCATTCCATAGGGAATTAAAGATAAAAGACGTGACATTTTGTAATCAATTTAATAAACAAAACTCTTATTTGCTTTATTCGTGTACCATCAGAGGACACATTTGTTAGAAGACTCCTGCTATAAATGTGACCCAGATACAGTGGCCACTATTTTGGTGTGTTACATAATCAGTTCAGTGTCACAGGAATGAATGGGTACGACACAAGGTAGCCTCTCCTGAGAAGTGTATACTATAATTAAATACTATATAATCAACTAACTTGAAAAAAAAAATCATCATGGATGAATAAACAAACTGAATATACTCCCCTATATTTACACATTACTCATTTGTTTTGAGGTCAATACTGTTTTACCAGTATTCTCACTTTTTGTTACTGGTTGTTTAATATGAGGTCTACCAATAGATGGCACCAAGTGATCTTTTCTTTAATGATAATAATAGTAATAATAATATACTAAAAAACTAAATAAAATGTAGTATAATGATCTAGTTATTGTGTCAAAAAGCAAAAAATAAAACAATGAAAAATTGGCTCTCCATATCAGTTATTGGATATTTAAACAAAAATTATAATGAACAAACAAACAAAAAAAACCCTACAGATACTGTATTGTATCTGTCATAAAAAGTATTGGTTGAGAGCAAAAAGCTACAATCTATCACAGACATCAAACCTGGCATGACATGTCTGACATGACTATATTTAAATATGCAGTTTGAATATTTTGTATAAGTGAACTCTGCCTTTAACCGATATGTAACCCTTCCTCTCTACTCATAACAGCAAAACATTTCTCTTTCTTCTACAGAAAGTAAATTTTTTGCCTTGCAACAAGACCCATTTTGAGAGCTGTGGTTAACTAAATTAGGGGTACAGACTGAACAGTGACAATGACTATTGGACTTGGCAGGAACATTGGATTGAACAGCTTCAGCTTGATTTATATCACTATTTCTAACACCTGCTTTCCTGGCCTGCCAATATTTAAAAAAAGACGCTATTGTGTGAGGACACTAAACCCCCCATCTGTCACTCCCTCGGCCTGCCATTCTCTCATTCTCCCACAGATGTTCATTATACTGTAAACATAAGCACTGGTGCAGTGAAAAAGCCAAAGAGATATGCACTAACATGCTGCGAAAACGTTAATGTTGTGGAGTTCATATGTTTGCCATATAATTAACTCTGGTCTTCGACAGAGAAATAACCAACCGAGATAACATAGTATACAAACATTACGCAACAGGCCTACAGTTTCTTGAAGCTAATCTGTTGTATAAAGACTTACCTGGCCTCCATTTGTGGTAGAGAAGATTCTCATGGTGCCTCCACACTGCTTGACGTACCAGAGGAACCACAGAGCAGACACCTCATGGGGCTCGGAGGTCACGTTCACATTGACGAACAGAGTGGCAAAGCGACGAGCGGCGCTGCAAGCAACCCGTGGGTGAAGGGATATGCCATCAACAGCCAATATGCCACAATAATACCTGATATTAATTGGTCCTTTCTCTGTACCTGGTCCAACAAATTTTGTCAAAGAGTTGCTGCATAGTCATCTTGTCCCACTCTTCCGCATGAGGGGCCCTCCATGGAGCTTCTTTAGGAATCTAAAGTGCACATTTGTGATCAGGGACTCTATAGTTTAATAGTTAATAGTTTAGTTCCAATAACGATTATTTTTAAGAATCAACAGAATTATATTGCCAAAATTATGAGAGAATTTAATTCAATAATAATAAATATAAAACAATTCTTGGAAAAGGTGTTTTCACTTTTACATATTTTTCATAGTCATAGTGGAGAAATTTCCTTTAAAGTGCCCCTATTATGGATTTTTGAAAATTACCTTTCATGCAGTGTGTAACACAGCTCTAAGTCAATGAAAACATCCTGCAAAGTTTTAAATCTGAAAGTGCTCCGTGTATAAAGTTATTGTCTCTCAAAAGAAAGAGTCGACTCTGAATCATTGAAACAAGTCCTTTTTAAAACGAATCCCAAGCCGTTTCATGGTGACCTCAACATGAAACATTAGCATATTGCCCGCCCACTTGTTGGTCTTTTCGGGTTGGTCTGAATAAAAATGCAAATTCACTCATTGCCACTAGGTGCCTCTTTTGGAGCGGTAAAAATAGCTGTTTCCTTGGTAATGGCTGTAAACAAAGCAGCACTGCGCTCGCTGCTGCGCTCGCTGCTTTATCAGGCATTACAGGCAAGATGAAATGAAAATGAGACCAATCGGACCAATCACCGAAGATTAGCGTCACGCAAAGGAGGGGTTTGGAAAAATGAATCGTTGAGCGAAATGTTTGGGAGTCGTTGAGCAAGTAAGGTAAAAATAAATGCATATTATAAGAGTGAAATTGTTTTTTGACCTTGCATGCAAGTCAACCTGTTGTTGGGGACTCCCAAAACCAAAATATGAATCTTTCATTACCCATAATAGCGGCACTTTAACAATATATGAAACAATACAAAACTAAATGTAGTAACATATTTCTTTCATTATTTATAAAATTCTGCTGACAAAGTGCATACTTGTATGAACAACTAGCCAGATTTCGGTCTCAGTTACTTGTAAACTATGTATTTTATTCACTAGGACTCATTAGAATAATTTGTTCATAAATTGGACTACATTGTTTGCATTCGATTAACTAAAGAGCTGACTCATTACAGTAATTCATTCAGAAATCAAACAAAATTAGTCGCACTGTACACATTTGATTCAATAATAAGAACTGATGTATTAGGGTATTTCTTTCAGTAATAAAACTACACTGGTTACACTGTTTGTTTTTTATTCACAAGAACCAGCTCATTAAAATAATTCATTAGGGAATCGGTCTACACTGGTTGCGTTGTATGTTTGATTCACTAAAAAGAACCAACTTATGAGAGTTATTCATACAAGTATCACATTACACATGTTACACTATATGTGTCATGGTACTGAAGAGTGATGAAGCTAGGACCCAAGGTGCAAGAAGAATGGGTCTTTTTAATAATAAAATTAAACAAAAAAGAACAAAAACTACCCCAAGGTTTTAAAACGAATCCCAAGCCGTTTCATGTTGATGTCAACATGAAACATTAGCATATTGCCCGCCCACTTGTTGGTCTTTTCGGGTTGGTCTGAATAAAAATGCAAATTCACTCATTGCCACTAGGTGCCTCTTTTGGAGCGGTAAAAATAGCTGTTTCCTTGGTAATGGCTGTAAACAAAGCAGCACTGCGCTCGCTGCTGCGCTCGCTGCTTTATCAGGCATTACAGGCAAGATGAAATGAAAATGAGACCAATCGGACCAATCACCGAAGATTAGCGTCACGCAAAGGAGGGGTTTGGAAAAATGAATCGTTGAGCGAAATGTTTGGGAGTCGTTGAGCAAGTAAGGTAAAAATAAATGCATATTATAAGAGTGAAATTGTTTTTTGACCTTGCATGCAAGTCAACCTGTTGTTGGGGACTCCCAAAACCAAAATATGAATCTTTCATTACCCATAATAGCGGCACTTTAACAATATATGAAACAATACAAAACTAAATGTAGTAACATATTTCTTTCATTATTTATAAAATTCTGCTGACAAAGTGCATACTTGTATGAACAACTAGCCAGATTTAGGTCTCAGTTACTTGTAAACTATGTATTTTATTCACTAGGACTCATTAGAATAATTTGTTCATAAATTGGACTACATTGTTTGCATTCGATTAACTAAAGAGCTGACTCATTACAGTAATTCATTCAGAAATCAAACAAAATTAGTCGCACTGTACACATTTGATTCAATAATAAGAACTGATGTATTAGGGTATTTCTTTCAGTAATAAAACTACACTGGTTACACTGTTTGTTTTTTATTCACAAGAACCAGCTCATTAAAATAATTCATTAGGGAATCGGTCTACACTGGTTGCGTTGTATGTTTGATTCACTAAAAAGAACCAACTTATGAGAGTTATTCATACAAGTATCACATTACACATGTTACACTATATGTGTCATGGTACTGAAGAGTGATGAAGCTAGGACCCAAGGTGCAAGAAGAATGGGTCTTTTTAATAATAAAATTAAACAAAAAAGAACAAAAACTACCCCAAGGGGGAAAACCAGGCAGACAGGCTAGGAACAACAACACGGGTAGACATAACACACACAGGACGTAAAACAACGGATCAGCACAGGACTGCAGACAGCAGGAGAATAAATACGGAGACTAATGAGGAGGGTAACGAGGGAGACACAGGTGGAGCAACTGAAATAATGATGAGGTGACAAGATGGGAGGGGACAGACAATAAGACAGGAGAGAGAACATGGCACCAAACAAACACAACACAAGCCATGTGCTCTCACAAAACCACAGGAGTACCCTCTGGTGGCCCTCTTGGGCACTCCAGCTGCAGACTGTGACAATATGTGTTTGATTCACTTAAAGAACTGACTCATTAGACTTATTGATTAGGAAATTAGTCTACACTGGTTGCATTGTATGTTTGATCCACTAAAAAGAACATACATTATTCATACAAGTAACAGATTACAGATGTTGGACTGTATGCGTTTGATTCACAAAAAAATACAGACTTAAGAGTCATTTGAGTGCACTGGTTGTGTTGTGTGTGTTCAATTCACTAAAAATAACTAACTAGATAGTCATTCAGAAAATCAGACTATACTGGTAACGCTGTATGTGTTTGATTCACTACAATGAATCGACTCATGAGAGTCATTCATTTGGGAATCAGATTACATGTGTTGCACTGTATGCGTTTGATTCACAAAAAAGCACCAACTTGAGAGTCATTCGTTCGGGAAATTGGACTATACTTGTCACACTGTATGTGTCTGATTCACTACAATGAATTGACTCATGAGAGTCATTCATTTGGAAATCAGATTACATGTGTTTGATCACTGTATGTTTGAGAGTTTGTTTTGTGATGTATATTCAGCAGCAGTGTTGTGGTGGCATTCAATAAGTATTGCAGGTAATTATCATGTATACAGGAGAACAGTTAATGGAACTTTTTTTAAATGGAGTCGGTTCTGAATAAAAATGGCCTTTACCTCCATTCCCATCTTGTCCATTGTCCTCCAGAGGTTGTTGTAGTCCAGGTAGGCAAGAGGGTTCCACATTGGAGGAAAAGGCCCTTTGAATGGATATGATTTGCCCTTGGAAACAAGAAACAGTGTTCGTAAGAAACCTACTACCTTAGCACCAAATAATGAAAATTGTGATTATTATTTTGTCATTGTTGACGTAATGTCTTTATCATAGCTATCATGACCTCATTATCATTAGAAGTGTAACCAGTCTTGAATGGAAAATGGTTTTTGCTGCCTAAAATATACGTAACTGCATTTCGCCTGGCTTGGAAACAAATCAGTTAATGGAGGGCCTCTGTTCACAGCGTTTACAGTTCACGTTAATACAACCAGAAGATCAGAAACCACTCAACCTTATCAAATCTCAGTAAAATTTTATGAATTTCACATAAAAATGTGACAATCTTCTTCATTGGGAGCAGGAAAAAGATATATATGCTCGTTAGGGGGTTGGAGTGGAATATACAGTAATGATAAAGCATCTATAAATAGACATTAATGATAATGCTAATTCAGTAAAATTCATAATCACAGATAATGACATTAGCCTTTGGCAAACAGCAGCTATATGACACAAGCTGTTCACACATCGCTTGCTTCCCACAGTAGTGGAAACGCTTAGTCAGTATGATCATTCTCTGCGGCTGGCCAATAGGGTAACTATATGCAGACATTACTTCATACCTGGATTGCTCTGTTGCTGTGGGGCTCTTAAATAAGCACCACTGGTCTGATTGATTAATGTTTAACTACACATCAAAGACGAAGCGCTGAGTTTCAATATGTTGTTCTTCAACAAAGCCTCTAATGATTGCTAAACCCATAATGATAATAAAAATGAAATCTCTGATAAAGAAGGCTTGAGATGGACAGTTGAAAATGTGCTAAAGGTTATTACTTTAGCACTGAATCAGGCAACCTAGTCAAAACTGCTGACAAAAACAAAGACCTGTCACCTAGAAGGATTCTCACGCACTCCTGGGTTTGATGTCCAGTGTTCACTTCCAAGCAATTTGTCATGTCATAGTGATTTGTGCATTTTCAACACACTGTTTCGGAAAACCCTGTCATTTTCTTGCTCGCAGAAACATTTGAGGGGAACCAAAGTGGTTTTTGAGTAGGACTAGAATGCACTTAGTAGGACAGATAAATGATTGAAGACTTCAAATGGCAGACCACCGCAAAACAACAGAGGGACGCCATGCTCCTTTTTGAGTGGGCACTATGGCAGTTCTGGCTCTCCTGGTGCCCTAAACAAGATGAAACATGACCAAAATCAAAGAAATAAATCACAACTTAGCAGTCCGGCATTACAAGGTTCAAATCAAGCCTATTATATTAATAATAACAAAAGGAAACTGAACTTGACATATTTTTAAGATATAATAACCATGCTTTATTATACATTTACATTTATCCATTAGCCTACGCTTTTATGCAACGTGCCTTCCATTGCATTCGAGGTTTAAATTCATACAGTTCATGCATTCCCTGGCAATCAAACCCATGAACCCATGACCTTTCCATTAGCACCATGCTCTTGAGCTACAGGAATTATAAAACATATATTTTTCAAATTTAAATGACACTTTTGATAAGAAACATGCATGAGATTTCTCCAGAAATGTCAGTTGAACCCGTATATCTTACAAAAATGGTCTCCTTGACCTATGTTGGGTTTTCAAAGAAGCAGATGTATCATTTTTTTATGTGACTTGGCCATCTGCATCTGCAAGCCAACTAACACTAGGAAAACTTGTTCAGCTAAATAAGGGACCATGACATTTCCATATAATTTGCGAGCCTGCCAGACCAATGCTGGAGAGGACACTGGATTGCTCAGCATCCAGCAACAGGTCTGTTCCCATGGCAACAGAATTGAGGTGGAGAGATGGAGTGCATCTCTTATGATATCTTTTCAGCCACAGCAGAACCTAAGCCTCTCTATCACTTACCTCATACTGCTCTATATCCACACTGCTGCCCACCTCCTCGGTTACAAGCAATGAAATGAGACCACATCCTGTCCAACGCAAATGTATCATCCTCCAAAGTAACATTCTGTTTGCCTGTATGTTACAATATAGACTTTTTACAGAATGAACTTATATTCTTTTGAAGAAATAAGCAGTCATTATAAGAAATTGTGCACAATGTTTTGCATTTTTTGCACCGATATTGACCAATACAGATAAGCTTGCAATTGTTTTTATGTTATGGCGATAACCGATAAATGGCTGATATTAAAATCCTACACTACTTTGTCTAAATAAATAAAAAGTACCTTTATATAAGGTATATAAGGCAACATTTTATCTAAATCTACCGATATCTAAATATCAAAATATCTAATATCAATATCCAATACATTGCTCATTCCTAGAAAACAGTAACTATTTTTGCAAGTTTGTTTAGTGCTGCTAGTTATTTAGACATTACATTTTTAAATGTGAAAATACCAACCTTTAGGTATTAACAGTAAAACTATACACATATTACATGTCATTATAATTAATTGCAATAGTACCAACAACAATGTAATTCCAAGTAGTTCCACAACAATAAGTATATGTGGTTTATTAGTATTGCTCAGAAACCACTAATGTAAATGCACAGTAATGCAAACACTGTAAAATAGGCTGTATTAGTTTTTAACAACACTGCCTTTGCACAACTGTTCAATCATAATCATATTGATATGCTAAGACTGCCAGAAAGAGCAGAGCAGTTCCTCACAGACCGAGGCAGAGGAAACTGGGTCTGGCCTTTAGGATTACAGCTATAGAAAAGCTGATTACACGGGCGCCTTGGCTGCACGCTCACCTTAATTATAAAATGGTCTGCTCATTGTAAGGCCCTTATTGGCTAATACTGGCTCAAGGCCAATACGTGATTGCTGAGTAACAGGTGATACTATAAAAACGGTTGTAAAACTTTCAACAAAGCGTGCAGGAGCAGATTGGACTGACTACGTGAGGGGCTGATAAAACTACCCTATGAGCCTCTTTCATAAAACTACGCAGAAAAATGGACACCACTCAGCAAAACACTGATAATATCCAGGATAAACTCAAAAGGTGAATTACACCACTGTTGTTAAGGTCAACAGACTAGATCAATAGAGATTCATTCATTCATTCCTCAATGACAAAGCATAATTGTGTTAGTGACCTATAACAATTAAAGTGCAGTCACATTAGCAAAATTTTACAAACAAAAAAGGTTTGCCAATTGTCAATAGTGTAGCAATGTATAAAGCACAACTCCCACAAAAATCTATTTCAAACCAAGCAGCTTTCTGTTGCTCACCACCTTTGTGAAATCTTTCGCACTGACACTAAATGACAGATTGCATGGCTTCCTATTTAAAATGACTGGATTTCTCCCCTCAAAATTCACAGAACAGTGGTAAATGTGACCGCAATTTTGGTTGGAAATTGTACACTGGCTTTATTAATTAGTGGGTTGTCACCAGACATTTGCATGGCTCAACATTAAAAACCTGACTTTGGCGCCTCTGTGGACTGAAGCGATTTGGTTATGAAGGAAACGCCCCTGATCCCAAAGACAGAGCCAGACATCATGGTGTGAGAAAACGTGAGAGAGAGAGAGAGAGAGAAAGAGAAAGAAAGAGAGTGTGTCCCCTCAATCCCGATAGCGATTGTCTTTTGAGGAGGAGTGCTGCCATGGTAACCCACAGGGATGCTCCGATCAGGAGATAATGGCACGAGGAGAGAGGGGACATCTCCTTCAGAACATACATTAACACAAACACACACATCATTAATCATTAGGACAGACACATTCGCATTCATTCAATTTAAATCACAACACGTACCAAAAAGCAGCCTATAGCAAGACAGACCATAACAGTATTGGTTGAAATGAAGAAACCAAATGAAAATGTGATGTAGCACAGCACTCTCCTTTATTTTCAAGTAGTATCAATGAGCCTCTGAACAGCATCTCTCTTACAGATGTCTGAATCCATGCTGATGCATTCTTCCACAAATAAAGCCTTGAAATCAATGAGATGTGTTCATAGCCTCTTCCTGGTGTCTACCTCATTCTGCATTACTGCCTTTGTGTTTATTCTGACAAAACCTGTTAAGGACGAGCTGGTTTGATATTGACTTTGACAATTATTGTGCTGTCAAACTGCACAAACCAAGGAATGGGGACCAAGGATTGTTTTTTAAAGGGTTTGCATTTTTATAGAAATGACTCCAGCAGGAATATGAGGCACTGTACTGTAACTCAAAAGATCAAAAATATGCTAGCAAACAAAAATATTTAGCCTATATATACAGTACAATAACATTAGAGGGTTAATTCAATAAAAAATTACTCATCCTTATGTTCTTCTGTGGAATACAAAAAGTGAATTTCTGAAACATACACTACAGTTCAAATTTGGGGTCTGTAAGATTTTTAAAAATATATTAATATTTTATTCAAGAAGGATGCATTAAACTGATCAAAACTGACAGTAAAGGCCGAGTTTCACAATTTGAGTTGAATTACTGAAATAAATTAACTTTTCCACGACATTCTAATTTATTGAGATGCACCTGTATAATCTGAAGTATTCTGTATATGACTTCTGAAGACATATAATAGTTCTGTGTCAAAGTAATTAGCTGGAAAATTTTGAGAAAAGCACCTATGTCTGATTCATGATTGAATAGTTAAATCATTAGGTTCAGTACACAAAGTCTATATGACTTATTCACTGATCTCAAACCACTGAAACAACAAGCTATCATGTGACTTTCATTACGGAACAGTCATTGACCACTTCTATTATATGTTTTTGCTGCTTTTTAAAGCTAGAAAGCACTATTCATTGTAACTGCATAGAAAAGCACAACCAGCACATTCTGCAAAATTTCTCCTTTTGTGTTCAAAAATCAAGTCATGTAGGTTTGGAACAACTATTTTCATTTATTGGGTGAACTTTCCCATTAACAAGATTCTACTACTTTCACATTCCTGATTTTTAATATTGAGAGGATTCAGGATATTGAGACCGAAAGCAAAGTTAAAGTTTCAGATATTTAGCATTAAGCAAATATTTACACGAATAATGTCTAGATTTGATGGTATGGTGTTACACAGTTAACTATTCTGCTGGGCAAAATGAAAGATTATGGGAAACATGCCAAAGGGTCTTTTCCACGGCAGCTGAAATCCAGTTCCATCCTGACATAATCCACAATGAACACTCCAATGAATCTCCACCATGACCTTTCCCTTCGTGCACACCGCCTTCTTGAGTATGTGTGAGCTTGTCGTTTCCTGGTCTCCATATCAAGAACCCCTTTGATTTACCATGATAACTTTAAAACAACCTGTATTTTTCTTATGAAATATGACCACAGAAAGCAGTAAAGCCCACATGATAAAGAGCAGTATTAAGAATCCAGTGATTTATCCCTGTAATAGCAGGGTCAGAGCGGTGAAGACACTGAATCTACAGCCAAATCTAATAAGGTCATGCAGCGTGCATGTGCTAAGGGCAGTGATGCGTCTACTCAAATTGGATATGGGGCAGGAGGAGGGGAGGCTGGTTTCTTGAGTTCCGCCCTTCTTACCCACTCCAAGCATCTGAGACCATATTACAGACTTCCTTCAGGCAGCGATTAGCATCTCCAGGCTTGAGCGCAGCACACTAATGTGAAGGAAGGGCCCTGTATTTAGCCCTGTTCAGCTGAGCGAACCGGGGCAAGCTCTGACTTCCTGTGCATTAAGACATGAGTGTGCTTAAACAAAAGGCCGTATTATTAGCCGAAGCTCTGGCCTGAGGCTGTGAAGAGAGATGGATTTTGAGGCAGGAGAAAAATCTTGTTTGAATTTCGCAGATGTTTTGCTTTTGATTCGGTAATAAGTCTAGGCTGCTACATGTGTAGGCCTTCACTGAGGTTTACCTTCACATAGTGAACCAGAGACTCCTCCTCATTGACTTTGTATGTTTTCACGCCGTACTGTTTGGCTATTCTCAGGATGCGGTTTTGAGTGGGCCCAATGTACGCTCCTCCTAGATCCACCCATTTGGTTTCCTTATTCTGAAAGCACACAGATTCACAATGAAATAGTCACTAAAATTCCTACAAGCCACGCTGAAACCAAAAAAAAAAGGAAAAACAAAAAGGAAGTGTTAGAATATGCATGCAAAGACAGCAGATTCCCTTCCATGGGATTCGGTTTTGACTTTCACCCTTCTTTCGACATACTCGCCGTGGTGGCGAACAGCTGACTTGAGCCAAATGACTCAAGGTTAAATCAGGTTAAAAGCAGTGTTTTTAACTTTAGGGGCATTTTTTTCTAACTTTATTAGATGTATGCATCACCTTTTTTCACAAATTCTTACATTTAATCAATAAATTCAAAGGGCTGTTACCAATCAAATATACCAGATAAACCACTATCAACTATATCCATTTTTGCAGTGCAGAAGTGGCACAGAAACTGCATCTGAAGTGGCATTTACATGTATTTACATAGACTGCTGAATGCAGAGGTGGCATAAATGCATATACACTGCAAGTACAATCACATAAACAATGTTTCAAAGTACAATTCTGAATACTGAAATGTGAAGCAATGATTCTTTGAATAGGCAACATCACAATGAATGTGTGGACTCAAGGAGTGCTCAAGGAGTTTATGTTTTGTGAGTGACATACTCAATGTTAAGTTGCACGTTGTTAAAACAACTATGATATTATCATATCGCACACCCCTAGTTGTGATATTATAGTCCATGACTCATGTTCCTATCACACATGTAAAAGCAGACCATGTGTCATGCAATGAAGTAATTTCATTTGCTTCAGATGTCTTCAGATATCTTACCTGAACAGTGTAGGTTCTTCCACCAACACGGTTTCTGGCTTCCAGGAGCACAGGATTCAGGCCGCTCTCCACCAACAGCTTGGCGGCACTCAGACCTGTGAATTGGGAAAGTAAAAATGCAGACTGTAAGATTTAGTAGACATAGTATATGTAAAAATATCTGATAGATTGGTCTTTGAGAAAACTCATGTTTATTCAGGAGATGACAGTAAATGATGAAGAGAGAGGGAAAAGAATTTGAACTTGTGTCAAAAGCAGCACAGCTCGGTACTTTGGCTAACTGCTAAGACAGCGATTTAGAGTACATTTGAGATGCCAGTAGTCTGTGGTCTGAAATGCTTTTTTTCTTTCAAACTGTTCCTGTCCTGATAATATTAAAGGTTGTTCCTGTCTTGACAACTTACTTCCTGTCTGACTGTGTAGAGTAGTTACCAATGACAGTGTTGTTGTTGGCTTTCTATTGTGTGTGATATCATGACTGACCTGCTAAAAATAACATCTACATATTTAAACCTCTTTTGTGTAAACAATTTGTGGCATATAAATAGTTTGTCTTCCATTCGCCTCAACTTATAAATTAAAGAGGTGGTTCATTGCGATTTTACTTTTTTAACGTTAGTTAGGGAAAAGGCAGCAAAGGGGGAGAGGCCATGCTGCGCTGCTTTAGAGAAGAGGAAGAGAAAACTAGAGGTGCACGTAAAAATCTATTCATATATGAATCGCGATTCTGTCTTTTAACGATTCTAATGGATTCACAAGTTTCAAAATCAATGTTCTAAAGCAGCGGTTCTTAATACTGTTCCACACGTCCCCCTGCTCTACACACGCTCTGCATCTCTCTCTCTCTCTCTCATTCAGCTCAGCTTCTGCGCGATCCTCTTCAGTAATATCCTCTGCGTCTCAATCGGGCTCAAACTGATAAGCAATATAGACGATGCCATTGTTTTCAATACAACCGGAGCACATGCCGCTGAGGAGAGGGGCGGGACAATTAGACGCGCACTAGAAGCGGTTTAGCCAATCACAACACACTGGGCTAACACACTGCACCCCATAAACACAATCAAGCCTAGAAAAAAACCAGTGAACCACCCCTTTAAAGACACTGAGGTCTGGCTTGGTAAAATTAGTCAAACGGTCCTGAGAGTGGTATATTCAAATTAGGAACTGAAAATATAATAAAATTAGCCAAAACATGTAATGAACATGCAAGGAGTAGAAGATGTGTAGAACTTTGTGAATAGTGGGCGTTTCCAATTCTGTGGAAATATGCAGGGTTAACCAACAATTTGATTTTTTTTTTAATACAGACCTTGTTTTGCCTGTAGTTCTCACTTGCCTTGCAAACTTTTCCCAGGAACTGCCACAAAACAGTTAAGAATACAAAAAACTAGTGGTTACCTCTGTAAGAATCTATAGTCTGCCCCGACCCAGATTCCACTCCACAATATGTTTGATCATGCTCATTTCCCAAAATGGCTTAATTATTATAGAGAAGAAGAAAGTCAACAGTTATGTTGTTTGTAGATCACTTGGGATGATCACATCCTGAGCAAATGGTGACCAATTGTAGAATGGGAGCAGGTGTGGGACACTGAGAACCACCTCAGACAAAAGGGGTGTCAGAACTTAATTAACATACAGACCACAGCTGTAACAACAGGAGCAACTTCCTTTACATTGAGGGTAAACTCTAAGTGTATAAAATGTTTGAGCTTAGGATGTTCGGGGTTCAGTCTGACTCCGTTGAACCCAAGGTACTACATGTACTGTAATAGTGTCACTACTGTTCTGTAATAAAAGTTATTCTTCATCAAGATCTTCGACGTCTTCACTTTTTCTTACATTGGCGAGTCACCCAGCGCAGGAGTTTCCAATAAGCAGGAAAAAAGGTAAGAAAAGCGGTTTCTTACTTTTTGCTGGATTTGTCAGGGAAACCCCTTCATTTAAAAAATCTAGAAAAGAAATTGTAAGGATAGAAGATAAGTTTATTCAGTATTAGCAGGAGGAGTTATTAAGCCTATTCGGTACAATTCTGTTTAAAATTCTAAAGGAACTGAAGTAACTCGACGTAGTGTGGTGGCAGAGGTGTATTGGAATCGTTGTTTCTAAAGTAACTGAAGCAAAGTGCTTAAGTTTAAAGTTTCTAAAGTAACTGAAACTTGTTGTTGGTCTCTTATAATTCTGTTAGATTCTAAAGTAATTGAATCAACCCGACGCAGTGTGGTGGCAGAGTTGTATTAGATCTGTTGTGTCTGAAGTTGTAAGTTTCTAATGTAGTTGAAACTGACTATGAAGATGTTACAGAGACACACACACACACACACACACACACACACACACACACACTATGTTGCCTGTTGATTGATGTTTTCGCTCTTTTGGCCTTTGGCTAGGTTTGTACTGTCATAATGTTTAGTACATTTAGAAAATCTCTTTTGTTGTTATGGTTCTCAAGTGCTCCTCTCCCAAACCCCAAAAAAATGTTTGTGTGTAATTTTGCCAAATTTGAGAGAAGTCCCTATAAGACGAAACTTCATTTACATGCGGGAAGATGAAGCGGGAAGAATAGAGTATAAAATGTTTGAGCTTAGGATGTTCGTGTTTCATTCTGACTCCGTTGAGCCCAAGGTAGCCTACTACATGTAGGCCTACTTTGTCACTGATATGCTGCAATAAACATCTTCATCGAGATCTTCATCATCCTCATCATTTTTCTTACACCTCAAATAGTTGAAGATTCGATGCTTCGATAAGAGGGGCCTGATTCAACTACCAATCTCACAGTTGAATATTCGCTGAGGTGTTATGATCATGCCATTTTGGCCATATGAGGGTGCCCAATGTCTGATTTCAACTACCGGATTTTTTCGATCAGATATAGTATTAGTGATTTCAAAATATTTAAGCCGGTTTATATATATCGTGTATATATTATTTATCTTGTTTAAGATGCATTTGGTTGAGTTGCGCTGAAGTAAAGCGCTTCATTGTAGTACTACGGTGATTATCTCTTCAGCGTGAGCAGTACAAACAACAATGCAGTATATTAATAACTATGACTGGGACTGTCATATACATTATAATGAAAACACTATTATAATAAAACGCGAGTTTAGTTGCCGTGTTTCTGGACGTTGTTGCGTGAAGAACGCGTCCACAAAAGGAGTTCATTCAGAGCCGCACAGACACGTTCATGTGCATTAGGGGCATTTTGTGCAGATAGCCTATAAGTCGTAATTTTAACGCTATGTTGTATAAATAACGAAGCATATTCTATATGAGATAAATGAAGAGTTAAATCCCATTGATTAAAAAACTTCTATCAAATGCTGTACTCTACTGGTCATCTTCAGCGCACGCAGCTCAAATGCAGAACATTAATAACTGTCATATACATAACGTTATAATGAGAGCACTGTTGTATGAAAAAAAATATTGTGAATTCTTGGGGTTTCGCTGACGTTTAATGTTAACTATCTTTTAATCAAAACATAAAACATTATTTTTGTATCTGCGAGGTGTCCGTTACACATTTTCCCTGTGTGTTAACGTCAGTAAATATGACTGTCCAATGTCTGACTTGACTCTTGGTAATGTATTTTGCCCCCTGCCCCCAAACATATGATTCGACTATCAGTCGACTTACTCGACTATCGGCAAGATTCGATTCGACTTTGTAAATCAAAGTCGCTTAGTCGGGGACACCCCTACAAAAAACACTTACATTTAAAAAAAAATTAATAAATAAAAATAATTATAAAAAATATGTGTGTGTATGTACACCTTCAAAAGTTTAGGGTTGGTAAACATTTTTAATGTTTTTGAAAGAGACCCCTAGAGGACGCAGTTCGAAGTTCCCATGAAAGGGAACCCATGTACATGATCAACAAATGTAATACATTGTGACAACACAGCACTGGGCCAATAATACAATGACATCTCCATCAATCAGCCTGAAAGTCTCTCTAGAGAAGCGTCTATTGTTGAAGCCTTGCGTCATGCTTAAAAAAAATTCTAATAAAATCTTCACACTCACAGTATCTAAGATGTCCCATGGGCAACACTATCAGTATAAAACCACTTATATCTTTCAATAAATCTTTGCATCTTCTTCCCTGTAATCAGTGAGATGAGATTCCTGTTTAAACCCCTGAGGCTGCGCAGTGATTATGGTGTCAGAGCAATAAATCAACCGTTTTCTCCAATGCATTGCTCAAAACTAGAAGCTACAAGTGAGAACTAGGTTCCCTGCAAGGAAAAATCGCAAGTCAAACACCAATTCACAGGAGTTTCCTGTCTCTGAACACTCACACATAAGCACTTCCTCTCCTTACGGAGGAAGTAACACTGCTCCTGTGAATTTCATATGGTGTAATGACTTTTCACCATGCTGGAAATAGACTTGTGCAGGTATTCGGTAATGCGATATATGACGGTAATGAATATGCACGATATTGTTATCGTGGGCACTTCTAAATACCGTGAATAATTATATATTACAAATTATTCAGAATTTTGAATGCATTTTAAGAATACTTTTCCCACCAACTGGTCAAAATGCACAACACCACTGTATGCTGCGTGAAAGATGCCTGCGCACTCTGACGTAAACAAGCACGGACGAGAAGCACATGGTGGAACATGGGAAATATAAACCATATATATATATATATATATATATATATATATTCACATCTAATAAAAAAATTAAGTTGGTCTTTTGCCCTTATTTTTGCAATTAATGTGATTAATATTTGATCGGAAAAAAACACATTTAGATCAAAGTTGGATAGTACTGTCACTGCTGAAAATGGCCTGTCAAACAAAAAATAAATGAAAAGATAAACCTGTTTTCTACAATTCTGTTACAGCCACAGTGATGTGACAATGCAGCAGAGAACATCTGAGGTCAAAGCATGACCTTTGAAGCTTATATAATACTATAAACTGCCTTTGATAAGCGGAGAAAGTGGCAGACTCCCAGACAAACAGCTTACCCAAACACACAGGCCAAACATCTGAAATGCTCTCCATCATTTGGGTTCTGTGGACGACAGTGACCTACATCACACACACACTTCATGCTCTCAGC